TATAATGCACCTCTGAGTGATCATGGGAGGTTTGTTTTGTAAGATCTTTTCTTTCAAGGTTGGAGATCACAGTGGCCAGGTCTAAATTACCACTTGTAAGACAGAGCTAATTGTTCACATTCCCTCACCCTACTCTCCTTAATATATATCCTAGGTAAACCTATTCCTTGCCAGGGCATGGTACAGAAATGTCAGGAGAACATGTGCTACTTGCATGTATGAGTGAGGAATGGCTGGAATGTAGAGTGTGCATCATACACGTGCTGCAAACTCATGCATGGCAGGTGGCCCCATGTTATTTCTGGAGGAAAAACACCCCAAGCTTCCACAACAGTAAAATATTAAACTGGATATGGGAGCTTGGGAAATACCTTGTCTAGAACAACTAGATTTATGAACATGGTGCCATGTTCTCCAGATAAAGCTGAGTGGTAACAGTCTTCCACAAAATGTGATATATCCTGGTACATGGCTACAGCCCAAGAAAGTTGGAATAAGACCTTACAACTCACACATTTCCACTTGTGGTCTTGTTTATAATGTTGGATGCCAGCAGCTATAAATTTACAAGCTGCTGTGTCTCGACCTTTAATTGTTAGGAAAAATGAAGAACTGAAGTGACCTGAACTAATTAGAAAAGACTCAGGCTAACAAAGCAGGTGAGGGGAGGGAAACTCCTTTTAACATGAGTCTAGTAGAACAAGATAATCATAGCATGTCCTGAGTAGGAAGGGATAAGGTAAGGCAGGGTAGTTAGCAGCTCAGCAGTATGATCAGAGGACCAAGAGTTGGTGAAAACTTAGTGGACAACTGTTTTAAGCAGAAAAGAGGCTTTCTTTACATTATAAGTTGTCACATGAAATGAAAAAAAACCCCAAACATGACCTCTTTTTACTGATTATAGACTCTTTGGATGGTTTGGGCTATCGTAATTTTTTTTTCTCTAATACCTGTGGACTGACTTCCAAATACTGTGGAACTTGAGGTCCTCCTGACCTTCAGTGTTTAGAATATGCTAAATGTTTGGTCCAGGCATCTCTGAACTGGAGGCTTACTGTACAGAAGCAGACAGCTAACAGAGCTAGAGTTGCAAATAGATGTGCTGTGATAATTTCCTAATGTTAGTCAGCTTTCCGTATTTGTGTGTGCAGAGAAAATAACCCTGACTACAGTTGGAGTTCAAGAGAGAAATTAAAACTTTACTTCTCTAGTCTGTCCAATCTTCACTTTTAGCCCCTTTAACTATGTCTGTGTAAAGTACAGAGTTTTATCACGTATTTTACAGACTCACTGCATCATGTCTGCAGGCATGAGAAAAATGTGGAGGTTACATTAGCAGCAACATATCCATTGCTACTTCTCAAATTATAGATGCTGCTACACTTTGAAAATTATGCATGGTGCTTTGAGGCCTTTTTCAACTGAACTTGAAATAAAAGAGAACTGAAGGTTAATTGTTTTACGTAAAAGCCACTTAAAAGAATTCAGCATCAATGGAGCAGCAATTGTATAGAAGAAATAAAACCATATGGCAGGTTATCAAATACCATCCATTTTCACAGTTGATTAGCAAGTGTTTATTACACCTGTGTGTAAAAATTCCCAAGGTTTAGTGTCAGCCTTTGGGCTGATGTTGTCAGTGCCATGGTGCAGTGGCCTAGTGTTAATATTCTGAATCGTAACATTAGGCAACGTTGGGCATATTGGGAATCATGTCATCTTCAAAATCATAATTACATTTTTTCTAAAGTGTTCCAGTTGGTTGTGTTTCTTTGTTTTCAATTCATGAAAGGTAACCATTGCTGCACCTCATACCCTCAATTTTCAACAAACTATTTAGCAGTTTTGGTGGGAAAAATCTGATGACCGTCGCTAAAATTTGTGAGATGAAAATAAAAAGCTGTTATATGGGCTTATTTTGTGCATTAATGATAGGCACAGTTGCTAAGAGATTATTTTAGTAGCTAGGAGAAGTGCATTCAGGTATTTAGTTGTTAAAAATGGCTCAAATTATTTACATATAATATTACTGAATTTCCTAAAGTAGGTCTAATAATTCACTGCGCTAAGAAATGTTCAAATACTTTAAATAACACCATATTTTACAGAACACTTTCACTTAAGTAATTCATTCTCTCTGAACTCTTGAAAAGTATCTGAATTTGTAAGGTTATTTCCAGTTTAGAGGGCAAGAGGCAGAGATCACACATTCCCAGCTGTGAAGATGTCACTGGCAAGAGCTCTCTGAGCCCAGAAAGCAAGCTGATGTTAGCTTGCTTTCATTTGTTCCTCTTTTCTAGCCCCTACACAGCAGTTCTCTCTTCCAGTTCAGCTTCAGGCAGAACTACTAACATGTACTGATGAGTTTTAGTGAAGCATTTTTATAGTTTGCTTTCTACCTTTTCACTGTCTGGCATTTTTGTATGTCATGGGATAATGTTAAATCAATAGGACTTTACAGATGAGACTTGATAATAGGATCTTACCTCACAGAGCTTAAATTTTTTATTAGTGTTTATAGTATTGGTTTGAGGTATTTCATGTAACATTTCCCTGGGCAACTGTTAGGAGAGATTTAAATGTTTAACATATGTGGCTGTGCACACTAATATAACACTTGGTTTTACCACTGCTATCTATATGTACTTTTCTTTTGCCTTTTAATAGTTTCTTGCTTTCACAAAACAATGTTCCTTTTGCAGGGGATCCTTGTGCCTGACAGGCTTTGCCTATGGGATCCCCCGAAGCAAGAGTCCTAGCTGGATGGGTGGCAAGGTCCAACAAACCTTGAGCCTTATTTTTTGTGTGCAGGTAGGGTGGAGGACAGGGGGGAAGCTCACTGCTCTTCAAACCTGGATATTTTACAGACATGCAAACACCTCTTCTGGAAGTTTGTCCCTAACAGGGGTTTCTGCAGACACAAAACTGTCAGGAGGGTTTAGTTCATGTTTTTGAGATGTACAGAAGAAGGCAAAGGGGTTCAAACATAGCTATTCTGCTGAAACTGATGTGGAGTTCTTTGCTTTGGTATTATTTTTCCTGTATATTAGTCTTTCCATGTAATATGGATCTCTACACTCCTTGGCTTGTGTGGTGGTTTTTTTTGTTTGGGGTTTTTTGTAACCTGTTTCCTATTGTAAAATCATTTAACCTTCTCAGTCTGCTCAGTGAATATGCTGTGTACAATAACATCTAATGATCACCTCTTGGTAATGTCTGTTATACAAAGCAGAGATTTCAATCCATGTTTCAGGGTCATGTATGAACAGAGTTCACCTTTCACTCACAGTAATATGCTGATCTCAGAAGGTGACAAATGTACTCAGGAACTTTTTCCCTTTATTAACCTTCAGTAACTGGAGAACAAGCTCCTGAATTAGCTTATCAACACTGACTACATGTTGAGTCATAAATGACTGTAGGGGAATGCCTTCGGAAGCTTTTGAAAATTTCTGCTGTGATTGTCTCTAAAAGACACATTTGGCACCTAAACTTAAAGAGCAGATCATGCAATTTTGAAAGGCTGTTTAGTGTGTTAGGTATTCAGAACTCATTATGTGCCTTGACTGATTATCCCTCATGGCCCCCATTTAATGGATGGAGAAACAGGTTGGCAAAAGAAATAGTTCACTGGGATCACAAAAGAAGCTCTTCATCCTCTGAGTAGAGCAGCAGCCTGGCTGCTTTGCAACCAACCAGGCTTTATGTGTTTATTTCTCTTAAGAGGCACAGCACAAGTGCAGACTGACCTATGTGTGGTCAGTTTGTGACAATCATTTGTCCAGGGTAGCCTCTTCTTTGTATTTAAGAGGCAGCCTGCCTCCATCAGGCTGATCCATACTGATTTGCTTCTTGCTTACGTAGAGTATAGATGACTTGAGATGAAAAGTTCTGCTTTTATTCTTTCTTTTTAAGTCTGATTTTGTTATTCCAACCAACATGGAAAAGCGCTCAACAATTCAGACCTATGCTTAAGGGAACCTTGTTCTCAGTAATGATTTTCTTTTTTTGTACAATGTTTTCTTTCTGAAATATATGAAGCGAAGCTCTTTTGCAAAAGAAAAATTTAAATAAAATTCTTGAGTTGTGAATACTAATCATTGGTTTTGAGACATTTACTGTCAGCAAACAAAGCAAAGAGCTGAGTCTCTATCAAACTTTGTATTTTGGAATTTGTATGACAGATCATAGTAAAACATAAAAGTCTCTTTATTTGTGTCAAATTAGTATAGTCTTGATAAACAGAGAAACAAATGAAGATACTGGCTATGAAGACAATTGCTTGTGTATAAAGAGCTAGCTGTGTAGTAGCTGAGACAGGGTAGATAGCGAGTATATACAGGGGCTCTGATTTTTTTCAAATATTTGCATTCCAGTGTCTCCTTCTTGGTTTACTTTCTTTAATATATTTGTTTTTTAACCACTCTATTGACTTCCTGACTGGCATAACAGGATTTTCAAGGAATAGATGTTTTCATCTGAAAAGTTTACCTTAAAACACAACAATTTCAAGCAGCCCCATTTAAGTTCCTTGTAAGTACCCTTATTCTCTTCAGAGCAGGGATCATATTACATACTAGCTTTTGCAAACAACAACACCACTGCCAAAGTGTCTCTACCCTTAAAGAGTTCTCACATATCGTGTAGCCTTTTTGCTGTCAAATGCCATTAGGGTGCAAATAGTTCAGTCCCTGCTAGGGCTAATGTCACAGAACTGAGTGCATTTAGGATATGCATCTCTATATTAACTTCATTTGGAAACAGATATATATATACATATATTTAAGAATGGATGAAAGGCATTTTTCTTCCTAAATAATTTGGGTTTCTCTTTCCTCTGTTTTAGTCAAATATATGAGAGTAGTTTATAAATTAGTTGAGCTGGAGTTGCCAAACTTGGCTGTATATCTGAGCAGCCTGGATGGGAAGCCTTTGCAACTGATATTGTCCTCAAGCAGCTGATCATCAGAGCATTTCCTTCCCATATCCAAACCAGCAAAATGACCACATCCAGCAGGCAGAGCTCTTCTACATCTATGGTCAACAACTTGGCCAAAATATTTGATCCAAACACTTTGCAAAACCAAGGGCCTGATAATGGAATGGAACCTCCTCAAATTCTTCATGTTGCAAGCAGTGATATCAGTACATCTGAAAGTTTTAACATCATGGATATGAAGTTTGCCTCCCTTGAAGAGAAAATTGATAAGCTGTTGACTCTGCAAGACAATGTCCTTAAGAAGCTTAACAGTGTTTCCCAAGAAATCTGTTGCATCGAAAAAGATATTGAGATGGTAAAGGCAGAAACATCTGAACCTGGACCAAGGATGGAAAGGAACAAAAAACTGAGAAGTAATGATATGAAGAGACTTTGCCTTAAAATGAAAAAATCTCTTTCTGATTTAAACAGGAATGCAGAACAGCAGGTTAAAAGACTAGATGGACTGGAACAAAGTGTTTCTGGACTACAGAAACTTGTAGGGCCTCTGGTTGAGAAGGTGAAAACATTTATAATTCATAATTCAAGTGTAAAACACCATGTAAAAAAACGTAAAGTTTGCAAACCAGGTGATTATACAAAAGGAGCTGGACATCCACATCCCTTTAGGATGCACATTTTCTCGGAGACAACAGCTGATGACCTGCGCAAGAAGAAAAAGGAAAAGGTGAGCCCAGGTTTGTGTTTCGTCTTGTCAGGAATCATTGCAAAGTATAGGTATGTTCCTCTATATGCTCAGGTTTTTTGTTTTGTTAACATTTAAAAGAGAACAACCAAATGCTCTAAAAGTGAAAAGTATAAGAACAAACTGAGCAAGTTTCAGTGGAAGAGATATAGAAAATCTACTGAGCAATACAGACCTTCCTTTTCTTCTAATTATTTCTTGGCAGCTGTAAAACATAACTAGGGGTCATTGACATGGGTGACCAAGATTGACACAGACTTCAGGAGACTTGGGTCCTGGCCATGGATTTTACTATGATCTTCTCTGGATTTATAATTATCTGGAGGAATCAAGTTACAGCAGTCATGTTATGTGCACTGGGGTCTAGAGATTAGTGAAACTGGTAAAAGTCCTTCTTGGGTCAGGGCATGTACATATGTTTGTTCTTTAATTCAAAGAACATCTTAAGTGTGCTGTTCCGATCTGGTATTTCTGCTGACATTGGTGAGGACTAGGGGACTTCTAAACTGGGATCTGAGGTAGGGTTACTGTAACTAGAGCTGCAGCTTGTGTAAACTGCCCTGGATGAAAAAATGCCTGTGTGACCACAATGGGAGTTTAACCATGTTCTTTACAGTTCAGATTAAAAGACACCAAAAATCTCTTGAAAGGCTCCATTGACTACAATAAGCTCTTGTAAGGTAGTCTGAGTGTTTGTTTGGTAAAGAAGCCCAGAGCATTAGAAAATTAAGGAATTTCTTCTGACAAAGTGTGTTGGTATTTAATTAACCTACAGTGAACCAAAAAGGTTGCCTCTCATATTTTGTTCTGCTTTGCTTTACTTTTTTTTCCTTCCAAAAAGTCACACGCAGGCTTTACTCTTTGGTTCACTTCAAAAATAGTTCTTGAGTTTGTTTTTGAGCGGGAAAAACTTCATGTGCATGTATTATTGGAAATGGCATTCCTTGAAAAAAAGAAGCACCTAATATTACTCAGAATGGTCTGGTCAACAAACCAGATGCTTTACAGCTTGGTTACTCTTAGGCAGTCCCACTTCTTAGATAGACAAGAAGCATTTGAGTCATCATAGGAAACTATTAAAATAGCGGTCAGTGCTAAGTAGCAGCAGAGGAGCATCTTGTAAAGCCCTGTCAGCTGAACTGGCCGATCTGCCACTATGTAAGGATATAAATCATGCAGCCTTGTTTCCAGAGTATCATAACCTGAAGGGAATAATTGCGCCTTGCCAAAGACTGACAACAAAAATGGTCATTACAGGCCCATCTTGAACATCAGGCTGGACTGATTTCAATAAAGGAGCTTCAACAAAAGAGAAGATTTCTTGTTTTGCACCATTATCTTGATAAGAAAAGATTACTTATTTTGATCATCTGAGTTTAGGTCTTCTTTTACATTTCAAAACATCAATGAAAACATCTGTTGTAAAAGCCCCATCACAATGAGACCCACAGGTCATCTCTGTAATGCTGCCATCGCTGCACTTTGTGGTACAGCTTTACCTGTTTTAGTGAAACTACATATTCATCTAAACTATTTATAAATGTAATCTGAATCAGGCCTTGAATGTTAATGAACTGGGAACTCCTGGAGACCTGAGTGGGTGTGAAGCTCTCTGCAGTAGAAACACTGGGTCAGAGAAAGGGGGGACCATGCAGGCTGGTGAGTTTGTAGGAGCCAGTGATTGTAGTAGAAGAGGCATGTCAGAGGAGAAGGCTGTGCTCCTGGGAGGCCAAAAGGGAGCTAGGATGGCAGAGATGCAAATGCCTTATGGAGATCTCAGAGCTACAAAAGGCCTGGAAGTAGAGGGAAGTGGGTGACAGAAACAGAGGTGGCCTACTGACAAGGGCCCAGAGAGGAGAGGAGTGAGTGGAGTCTCTGTCTTTTCCCAACAGTAGCTACATTTGTAATCCCATCGCTGATTCCTTTTTGTTTAGGCAGACTCTCAGCAATGTTGAGTGGACCTGGTTGGAACTTGTCTAGCATGTGGGCTTAGGAAAGGCAGCACGAGCATGTCTGGAACCATGCTGGTGATGTTATTACATAGTTAATATTTTGTTTGTTTTATGAGATAGCATATGTATGTTAGCTTGTCATTACCTCCTCTCTGTGCATTTGATTTATTACAAAAGGGCCATCATAAAATTATCAAGCTATCCTGTGAACAACAGCTGGCTTTAGTAAACACTTAGTCATCTTGAGTTTAAGTGAAAACAGACTTGAAGTCAGCCCTGCATCAAGAGCAATGGTATGATATCCTTCAGCAGAGACTGCTGAGCTTGGCTGTTTGTTTGGGTGAATGTTTACCAACATTCAGGGAAAACATACTCTCCTCTGGGTTAGGGGGTAGCATCTCTGAGCAAGTTAGTCGAAAGACTGGTTCATGAAACACTGTGAAGTTGGTTGCTTGTGCCTCTGCCTGCCACATATTTGAACTAGATTTACAAATGAGATTTTATGTTGTTGTGATAAAAGCAAAGGGATAGAGAAATAGGGTGTCTCACTCTTGCAGAGTTTTACACCTGAAATGTACCACTGATACCTGGTGACATAGCAATGAACAAATTTACCCGACTGTGCAGAAATCAATCCTCTCTTCTCTTAACACAATCCTCATCCCTGTCTCTAGTCCCCACCTGATAACAGTTTTGAACAATGCTGACCCTGCAGAAGTGCAAGCTGCCAGGCAATAAAGTAACATCTCTTGTATCCTAGGTGGACTCTGTATGGTAACACTGTGCAACCCTTTGTTCACTTTAGACATGCACAATCCCATTCTGTTACTGACATGAACAAGGCAGTCCATTCACTACAGTTAATTTGGAAGGACAGTACCCACTTCTGTGCTCTGCTGGAGATGGTCAGATGTTTTGGATGATGTGCCTATTTGTCATCCACCCTGCCCCAGCTATGAGCAAATACCATCTCTTAGCTCTAATGGTTGAGCTGTCTGACAAATATTTGTCTGTCCCCAACCTGGTTCTGCAAAATAATCCAATAGTTTTTATGAACGAATTATTATTAGGTTATGACTGGATAGGGCATTAAATTGTGTTTACATACTGCTTCATCACCTGCCTTCCCATCCTTCCTTCTGTAAAGAGGTGATGCTCTTTTCTTAATGTAGCATTGTTTTATAATTTCTACTAACTCTCTCATTTTACAGAACCAGATTAAGCAGAAAGCTGTGGAAAAGGCGGAACAATGGGGAGGGAAGAGGGGGAGAGGTAAAGAGGTAAAGAAGGAGTGATAAGCAGTTGGGGTGTGTAATCTCTATTCTGGCTTCAGCAGCAGCTGCAAGAGTTTCCTGATCACAGGCTCCATGGGCATATTTTGTGCTCTTGCAAAATATAGGGATTTCTCTCTTCTGAAGCAAATTTCTGCTTTCCTGTCTTTTACTGCCATCCTGAAATACCTCCACTGCCTCATACAGGAGTTTAGTTTATTTCTGTTTTGGGTTGGAGTTATAATATTGTGTAGCCTGGAGACACTTCAAGCTTTGTCAGTGCTGCCAAATGTCTCCCAGCTGTTTTCCACTGAGTGCAGCATGACCCTATCACCACATGGCTGAGAGTAGTAGCAGTATTACTTGTCATTTTAAGTTATTTTGTCACTACTACCACCCAGGGAAATTAGCAGTTCTACAGTAAGGGTCTTTAAAAGTCTTGAGGTTTTCCTCAAAATCACCTTTTAACTAGTCCATGATAATCCTGTTGCAAAATGACTCTGTAACTTCGTTTTCAATCCTATTTCTTCCACTTGTAAAGAAAGGGGGTAAAATAATACTTCACTTATTTCCTCCAAATTAAGCAGTTTAGAGATTCTATACTATTAACCTGCAAATATTCACCTAGAGAGTCAGAAAGTCCATTTTGTTGCCATTGTAAAGCAGCACTGAGCTTTCTGCAGCTACCTGCAGGTGTCTGTAACTCTGGTTTCCTGATATTTCTACAGGCTTTGCTGCAGGACTAACAACTATTAGCAGTTTGGGGCTGTTTCCCACACTAAAATCACCCCAGCAGTGGGAGCTGTGTTTTCTGTTTGAACCCTCTGTCCCTCTTGTGCGGGTATCACACTGGAATTGCAGCTGCTGTAGTAGGAGCTCACAATGAAATTGCTGTTTGCCATATGTTTTTTAAGATCTGTTTAGCCTCAGTCTATAACTGTTCTTCTGATTCCTTCATTTTGCCTACAAATACTAACAGGTCCCTTATGCATTATTTAAACTCTCTCCAGATTGGCTGTGTTCTGTGTATTTTTCATATTCCAGCCAAATGGGCAGGAATTGTTTAATTTTCTTTTTTCATCTGTCTGCAAGAGTTTGTGCTTGTGCTCAGTGGTTGTGATGGTAGAGGCTTTCTGCAGAATCTCAGCAGTTTCCTGCTTAGGCAATGCAGCTGGTCAGTGCCATCAGGTACCATTATACTCAGGAATGCTTTTCTTCCCCTCAGGACTGATGCCTTTACCTAAGTATGTTCTTGGTGTATGTATTTCAGTTTTTGAGTTAGCTATAAAATATTAGAGTTATAATTCTCTGTCTGACTCTCTGTAAAACTGGTATGTTTTCTCAGGATGGTGTTTTCATCTTGTTTTGCCCCATTCTCTCCCTTACTGACAGCCAAAGATTTTTTTCTTTTCCTTCCAATTCAGAATGCTGTTTAACTGTGTTTTCCTTTTCCCTCAGAACCTGCTGCCTGCTGTACAATGTTCCCTAGGTAGGATCCTGCCCCAGGCACTGTTGTTGTGGTTTTGCTCTCTCCACAACTCTGAAAAACATGTGGAGTCAAAGCAGGCACAGCTGATTTCTAAATACCTGCATGCCACATTGGATGGCTTATGGATATGATATTAATGCCCATGTGTTAGAGTGACCATTTTAGGGATCCATTACAATTCCTTTACAAAACTAGGTAGACCTCATGATGAGGATAGAGATAACTGGTAAGTGCAGGAAAGCAAGGCAAGGCAGGTCATCAGAGAGCAAT